CTACTGTGTTGCGATCTGATTACTCATTTGCATGTGGTCAGACAGCCTGCATTTATCATCTCATTGTAACCTCTTGTTCATCCGACACCCCACAGGTGTGCTTCAAAGACTTATGGTTCCTGGAAACCGACCGCCCCTGCGCTCCAACCCGTGTGCAGCTGGTTCGGGCAGGAACTCAAAGCCTGGAGGTCACTTGGGGCGTAGTGCCGACCGCGGATGCGTACGTCCTGCAGATACAAAAGTATGATGTTTCGCCCGCTTCCTCTTCCTCGAGTACGTTACCCTCCGCAACCCCCGAGCCGATTGGTATCAAGCAGCCCCCAACAACCGCTGCGATGAGCGGAGGAAATTTCAGCAGATCAACTACGGTCCCCCAGGTACAATTTAGTTCGATCGATATCTCAATCTGGACCAGACAACTAGTGCTTTTTACTTTCCCAGGCATTTCTGACGGATTCGTACTTCCGTCTATTTTCCCAGCTGCTCGGACCTTGGTACACATACCGGCTGTTCCTCTTAGTGATGCACTCGGTCCTGTTCTAACTTCTAGTCGAAGACTTCTGTCATTTGCTATTTGTCATTAGTCTCTGTCTCATCTGCGAACCTAAGCTTTTCGTCCTCAGAAGTGAAACACTGTCTTTTTCATCACCAGCGAATCTTACCTGCGTTTGGAACCACTGCGCAATCAGTTACTGGGACCAGCATGATCGCATCCTCCATGACCCCAACTTCACTGCACGCACTAGCTAACGTTGCCGCTACGGCAACTTCGGGTACATTAACGCCGGGTAATCGGTTGAACAGCACTATCTCCGCCCCCATGGTCACGACAATTATTTCGACTCCTGGGATAGCCTTAGGAACTACGAGGGCCCCGACCGTCGTCACACCAACCGGATTGAAATACACTCCGGTTCCGAATAGTGCTGTGACTGGGCGTGCAGCTGCGATAACCGCTGTTCCACAGACGTCGGTGTCCGGTGTCATTCCTGCCGGGATGACTATTATACGCGCTCCGTCGACAATCGCGATCCAGCCAAAACCTCAAGTGAGTTATAGTTTGTTATTCGTCTTGCTTTGCTCTTGCTTGGTGTTTATCGTCACCCACAGCAGTCACTTTAAACTAATCGGACGCAATTGACACCGTTCCACGAATATTGACACGGAATTTGACGAATGCCAACTTTTGACAGTTTTCTCCTGACAATCCTGTGGGGGTTGATGAGACTGGCTCTTAAAGCTGTTTGATCGTTTGCCAGCATGTTGGTATCTTCCAAATGTCTCCAGGCAGCCCCACTCTCATACATAAGTGACAAGGATCTGTAGTTACACCAACTTATCTCAGCACCCTCCATTTACGAAGGTGTGGCGAATTCGTTATTCTTTCTTCAAAACAGCATTTTAGGCGCTAGTGGACTGTAGCCTTATTGCTCCTTTGACAGTAATGGTACACGGATACTCATTCAGTTTGATATTAACCGAATGTTAGCCATAATTGGAATCATGCTTAATGTGGTCGAAAGCACACGCTGTTTGCTCTGCACCTGATTCCCTGTCTCTTGTCATCCCTCTGCTTCGGATACCAGTCCATAGGGTTGGGTCAGAGTGGACTGCTCTCGAGGAGACAGTCTCTCTCGTCCCCTTTCTTGTTCCTGGACTGTTTGCTATCGTTAAACTTATCCTTTCCCGTGTAATCCAACGAAGACTCATTTGTAGCATCCTAAATCATGCTAACAGTCGACCTGGGTAATCCCCTAAACTTGGGTCCCTTTTCCTACTTCGGTCACATTGTTACTAACTGCGTTGTAAAGTAGCGGCTTTGAAGGCGTCCCACTTGTTTTGGTAGACTGTGGGGAGCTAGTGTAGATCTACCCAAACTCATTGAATCTCCGTTTAGAAATCTCTTGATAAAATTAACATTGTCTGGGAAAAGTTTCAGAGTCGTCCGTTCCCGACACTGCATTCCTCTGTTGTTGTAGCTTTCAAGCATTGACATATGCACAAATTGGCACAGTAGGTCGGTTCGAAGGTATTTTTAAAGTCGAAGGCAGATACTGGTATGAGTGTGTAGCCCCATACCGCGACTTGTGAATATGCAGCCATCACACGTTGTCGGCCATTTGAACTAATATTATTATCTTTAAACTGTCCAGCCTCGCAGTTTACTTTTCAGATGTGGTGTCACCGGTCTCTTCCCAAAGCTCAACGTGGGGAGTATTTCGGTTGCTTCCGTCATACCGCTCAGCAGTCTGCTATGAGTGGCCTCGAGAACGCTTGGAAGTATCACTTAGTGATTGCCCGTGGATCATAGATGTGTTCATTATTTGTTATTATCTCAATGCCAACAGTCTTCGCTTTAATGACACGAATTTAAGGACAGAAGCACAGATTGCACCACCAGTCGGACTTGTGAGCCACCATAACGCATCACTTATTATGCGATTCAATACGGTAGCGTTTCATCAGTCTGTAGCGCGAGACTTCAACTTAAAATAATAGACGAGAAAAAATAATTTCTTTGATGTCCGATTTCTTGCAAGAAACAATTATTTTCTTATTTTATGGAATTTATACCTTTAAACTAGGTTGCTGTGAATATAAATAAGAGAACACAATTTAGTTTCTGGAAACAAATAAATGCCTCGTTGGGATGGATGAAAGCGGAAAGATGTGTGTGAAAATGGTTGCGTATCAATTAATAAGCATATATACTGCGCTCCCACAGTTAACAATGAGAAATTACAGCTGAAAACAGAAATTTACCCCTTATACTCAGTTTTAGAAATCTTTCATTCAAAGAAAAATTAGTGCAAAACGCTTGTCAACATTTACTTAAATAGGTTTTCACACTATAACTTTTATGAAATAACCTCATATTTATCTATAATACAAACTGGTGGAGCATTACCACCCAAGTAGGTGATTGCTCGCCGTCATTGACTTTATCGTTTTTTCTGATTTGTTCATCCGTTTGCTTGCTTGTCCGTGGTTTTCTGATTGTTTGCAGATATTTCAATAAAGCAAGAAGAAACAACATTTTAACGGAATTTACTGAATTCAGCAATTTCGCATGTTCTCATCAGCTGTTTACATACAGTTAGTGGAAAACACAGGGCGACGTTAACAGCAAAAAATTTCAAAGCATTTGAAGGTCCTTAGGCTCACGTGACCCGTTCAGAGGAAAACGCAATCAGTAGCCTCACCAGGGAAGGGCTAGCGTGGTCACGAAATCCGTTTGTTTGCACAGATTTGGTTTCAGCCGCCGAATTGCTGTCGCTTCCGCAAACTATAGTAGGAGTAGCTTGTTTGCTAACTACCCTGAAATTGCCACTTGGGTTTTGGCATTCAGGGCAGTCAAGTATGTGGCGGGCAATAGAGCTAGTCGGTAGCTTCAGGCCATTAGCGATCATGTTTCGCGGAACATGCTCTGCAATCCTTGCTGACAGCCTTCTCACAGATCCTCCTATGTACTTGCTACCACAAGTACAGTGCAGTCTCTAGCCAGCGTCTTTTCATCCTGCACTGCCACTGCGACGTGAACACCTTTTATGCTTACTCGATATCCTTCGTTTTTCTTTGTCTGTTAACTTTTATCTGCGAATTGTGGTATTTTCATTATACATATTTTCCGGCTTTGGAACTCCAATTTAATCATTACTACGCCGTGGCGGTGATGTTACTCCCTTATTTATTGATCTGATTCCATGCCCTCTTCCCACTTAAGTAGCATCATACAATTGGATAAGCTACCCAGTGTACCTTCTTATCTGGTTTTGAAGTCCGTCACATCACCGAGTCGTAGCTTGTGTACCAAATGGGAATGTCTATCCAAATCCGAAATTCTGATTATCGGTGTTGGACCTCCCTCACTTATCACAGAACACCTCACACTTGAGGGCTAATCACGATGCGACAAACAATGGGCCTCATTGATTCGTGTGCGCTTATCATCCTTAGTGCTAATAAGTTACCGACCGTTTTTTCTCCATTTGGTGTCTTTATCACTCAGGTCATCACTGTTGGAGGCAAGCAGCTGATCTCGGCCCAAGGTACTCCAACTGGCGCTGTGGCAGCTGCTTCCGGACAGGTGGTGCATTTGGTCAAAACTTCCGGCGGCTTGATAAAACCTATCAAACTGGTTTCAACAACTCCAACCTTAGCTCCCAAACCAGTTACGCCTCAACAAACATCTCCTATCGTGACTCTCCCGACAGGTATGTGTTGTTTTGCTACCATGGTATTTCTTCCGTAAGAACAGAGTCGACCTGAAACCTTTGACTCCATTCAACTGTATTGCCTTCTTTCACATCCTTTCAGCCACCAAAGTTATCAAGACAATTCCCACAACCGTTCTTCCAAGACCTGCCACAATGAAACCAATACTCATCAGCGGAGCCCCAGCTCGCCCTGTCCAGGCTGTAATGTCCACCACGTCCGGCACGCTTCATCGTGCTCCTGGACAGCAAATCGTCATAATGAGTCCTACAGGTACTCTCAGCCTCATCAACTTTCTGGTCTTTTTTCACTCATCGCACACTCACTTACTAAGTCTATACGCATTTTGTCGTGCGGCTTTCTGAGAATCAAGTTAGTTTGCAGCAGTCTGGGCGAAACGGTCGTCTGGTGTCTTTCTGGATCGGTACTTTGCCTATCCGCCTTGTAATCTAATTGCGATGAACTAAAAATAAATCACACCAAATCCCTCTACACATAATTAATCACAACTATGTTATTGGCTAAACGTAGTCATTTTACCGAAGAAACATCTGAAACACTGTTCAGTTGCGGCGATTTTTTACTGGTCTTTTCTCACTGTTGCTTTTTTGTACCGTCTGCTTTTGCTCACCGGTCCGCACGCGCATTTCATCCACTGTGCTCGGCCTAAGTTACCTGCTCTGGGTACGGCTACAGCGTACTTGAGCCATACATGGCCGCTCCAATTCTCGACTGTTCCTTTGGGCCGTACGATTATGATCAGCTCCAATGTAGGCGGCACTTGCTTCGTATTCTGTTCACCACTTGCATGTCTGCCCATACTCGCTTCACTGGTCCCCACTTCCTCTGGTGCCGTTGACGCACATGTACTGTTTGCTCGTTGCCATTCGTACTAATTCGTTTCCTCACTTTCTGTACCCGAACTGCGCTTCATTCACTGGTGACTGGACAGTTTCCGTCTTCTTCCCTAGGCTCATGCGATCATGTTTTTGTTCGCGTGGTCTGCACTCGATTAGCCTATCCACTTACGTTGCGGCTATCACCACGCACCCTTGGTGTTATGATTTTAATATCGTTGCGATTCTATTGCACTTTCGACGGTCATCATTTTAAACAAAATATTTCACCTAATCTTTCTGCGTCACCCTTACGACATGTGTTTTTTGGTCTTCGGACGAAGTTGTGCTCGAGAACCTCGACAACTTATTTTTTCAACCCATAAATTGGCCGACCTTTGCATTTCGAAAAGTCCGCAATGCGGGGACGATATATTCCTTCCGGTGCCGAGCCCAGATGCTATGCAGTCCCTGTTGGGTAGACTGATAACGTTTATTTTACGGTTTCCAGTTGTGGCGCACAGCTTATGTTAGATGTTGGGACTCCACCAACGACGACTGGCTACCGAAAGTCGTTGATCAATCCACGTATGCGACCGCCTAATCGTCTTGTGTTCAAGCCTCTGGAGAAGTTGCTGCCCACCTATGGAGCCCATTTTGTAATGTGAATATGCAGTCAGAGACAAGACAGGTTTACGTGACGAAGCCAGAAACCGGATTGCCGCAAACGAGCGAAGCGAATGGTTGGATGTTTACGCTTCTCAGCTGCAGTGAGGTTATCTGACTGTATCAGAGTATGAGTCTCATGAATACAGCGATGTTGTTAGTTAGGCAAGCAGCCTGGTTATCTAAATCGAGACTTTCTGCAGGTTAATTGTGCTGTCATTTTCGCTGATTGCTTAGTTGAATAAACCGTTTGTCTCCGAAGGACCGAATTTAAGACTTCTTTAACTTGGAACTTTTTTGTCCATACGAATGCGACCAACAGTGTCTGTCGCTAAAGTTACTGAATTCTGCGCTGTAGTGTGTCTTGCTTCCTGTGTGGGTCGGAGACGATCGCAATACGTCGATGTTATTAAAACACTGGTCAGTTCCGCCCGTTGAACGCTACTCGTGCCTACTGCAGGCACTGGCTGAATAACGCTGATTCCAACGGTTTGTATCTGATGGCAACCAATTGTTGCTTTCTAACTATCCATCTTGGCTTATTTTGTGTCTATCGGGTGCACCTACCCATTGGATAGTATTTTGACATTGGCCACGTTATTTGATAGAAGTTATCCAACACAGCACAGTGCCGAAGTGGTTAACCTCCAGCGTTCACTCCCATCATTTCCAGCTGCTAATCCCAACCTTTCTGTGGCCTATTTTTCCTTCGGCTACCTACTTTATTCTCCTCTACTCGTTTCTTTGCATTGGCACCTCGGGGTTAGCTAAACGTCTAGATCCAGCGTCATGCGCCGCACATATCAAAGTTAATTTGCTAGCCATCGGTGATACAGTGTGCATCCAAGCACATATTACACTATTTTATTGCGACGGTGGCGGAAACCGTTGCTCCCGACGTGTTCTACGTCTGATCGCCAATGGTTCTGCGACTTTTTTTATGAGTTTGTTCGGCGACTGCGCGTGTAACATCATTTGTTGCTCCAGTCCATACGTCATGTAGAACCAGCTGGCGTACACAATGTGATCGGCAGAAAGGCACTGAATACGTTCCGAGACTATTTCAGTGGGACCGACCCAAACATCCCCTGTAGATTGGATTTTTGGAGTGCGCACTCAGCGTCTGATGGCTTCGTTTACATTCAAACTGGACTTAGCTGATGACGCACTAACTCGTTTTTGCATGTTTTCCTCTTCCCCAGTAAGTTCCCCGGTCATCAGTGGAGGGCAGAATGTCTTCTTCTCCCCCACCACTCAAGTTGCTCGTCAGCAACTTGCCCAGACCCCACCACAGGCCTCTGTTATCAAACGTGAATCAAACGACACCGTTTTTGGAGACGTTCCAAGTACCACTGACAGCATTGATGAGCATGATTTCGAAACGGATGGACTGAATCTACCACAGTTAGATGGTACAGTGGATGACGAGGACGATTCTTCCGGATCGACCGGCAAACAGTCCAATACGAGCGCTCGCCGTGGAGGTCGCGGGTCTTCTCGTCTTGGGTTAGAGTTGGGCATCGGCAGAGAAGTGAGCGTTCCCCAACTCTTCATTTGTGTGTATAAGTCATATCATAGGTTTATGTCCTCAATCGTTACCAGACTGTCTATGGTGTTCTTTTTTCCTTGTTTTCGATATATTCCGAACAGTACTACACACGGTCTACCTCTGGAAGTTTTGTACTTCTCACCTTGATTGTTATCTGCGTGGATTCTATCCCCCTTATCCTTCTCCCTGAGGTGAATATCTAGTGACAAGAGGACAACTGAATTTGACAGTCGTCTTTTGTGGTAATTGTTTCCCCTTCGTGGATTGCGCATAGGCCGCCTGCGCGCCAGTTATCCCTAAGTCACCGACTGTTGCCTCGGTTTATGGCACTGTCTCAAGTTGTTTCCAGCCTAGATGGCTGCTTTGGTCTGACGGAAGAACTTGTATGCACACACTTTGAATGGAATGGGGGCACAGTGCCCATCATTAGCATTCCTCGTCCCAATCTTTCTAGCATTGTGGTTCTATATGTAGTTCCTTAAGAGTTACATATAGAATCTATACTCACTCACTCGCATCAGATTTTCCCATCTCCCACACACTTATCTGTCGGTTTCTTGTTCTGATACTGTTCAACAGTTTTCTCTATCTGATCTCGTCATGCGCACTTTCCCTCAAATCCAGTGGAATCATGTGTCTCGGTTTATTGAAATCACTTATGTTTACTTATCTGGATAGTCTTATTGTGATGTGCTTATTTGCACTCAAGCTGTACCATCCGACACCAGCAACGCTTCGCAAACAGCGATACTTAGACCTGATGGTGCCTTAGTATCTCAGATGGAGGGAGTCAAATCTTCCTGTAATACAAGCTGTGGTCTTCTACATCCGGCCTTGTAGCCCGAGGGAAACAATGGAACAACGGTTTTATACGGGTACAATAAGCTAAGGATTAACAATTCCCGCAGGATGATCATGGTGAGAATTCAAACTATAGAAAAATTGTCAGCAAAATTAGATTTCAAGACGGTAGTTGGTTGGATCGGAATAACTACTTCCCTTGTGATAAAGAGTAATCATCCCGTATTTCCCCACGTCGGGTACGTATATTTCGTCAAAACAGTGTTGGAAAGATCAAGACAAAGGCTCAACTAACCTGTCTCCTACCTCGACTTCGGGTGAATGTTGTCAACTTCAGGAGAGCTGTGCTTTGGCATACTCAACAGCTTTCTTAGTACAGCTTCTGCCGCGAAGGATGAGTGAGTGAGTTTTTGGGGTGAGACAGCCACTGTTGTAGAGTTAGGCGGTCAGTGATCGCACTGAAATGTTGCAGCATATTGCAGGCGCAGACTATTCGCCGCATCTCTCGGTGTCCGTGTCAGTCCGTCCGCTGTTTGAAGTGGAGGAATTCCCCGCTTAACTTTACATAGACTGTTTACTTGTTTATACAGAAGCTTGTGCTTTGAGACCATACACACTGCCAACTTCTGTTGGTATACCATTCTATTCTCTCGAACAAGCTGGGTACAGTGGTTACTTTGGGTCACATAGGTCATCCAGTTCTCTGTGGTCGGAGAGAGTTTATAGGTATTTTAGGCTTAGTTTCGCCCTGTTATACGCTTACGTGTCCGGCTTCGCAGAAACAAGATCACGTTTCTCAGGTGGAAGCTCTTAGTCACTGATGTTTCGACAATAAGTGTTAAACTGGCTGACAAAATGTTACCACGCGCCAGCCGGTGCCTTGTCTGTTAGAAATGTCCAGTTGGTTGCCCCACCTCGTCGTAGTGTATAATCGTTCTCGTTGCGTCCGCAGTTTCCACGGAATATTCTGCATAACAAGTGTATTCGGTGAATAGGACTACATGATTCCCACGACCCAAGGGGACGTCAACGATTACCCTCTCGATCATCAGTTCTTCGTTGGTGAGTACCCGATCTGGCATAGATGGCTTAACTGAATCTGATGAGTGTGTTGATGTGATCATACGGCGAGAAACTAGAGACAACCCCTTGTAGATCCGCTTTAATCTCTTCCAGGAGCGGCTTGAGATTCCAGAGCGTGGATGTGGAAATCGCTAGTACTACTAATGTAACTGTACTTCTTGTTTATCAACCGCCTTAGCGCGAATGGCGGGTTAAAATCTATCTCGCGCATAGAGCAGGGAGGTAAACAACCGCCACTAATCAGGCGTCGTTACCTTTTAAGCATAGATGGCATCAAAGAGATTCCTGTACCACGCTGACCTACTCATCTGTGGATTCACATTGGAGTTCACTGCGAAAGTACAGATCCACCTCTCCACCTTTGCTGGACATGTCTGGCAGTGCAATCTCGATGTCAGAGCGTAACCATATACATTATAGCGGTGACGTTACAAACGTTCGATCCTTGACGAATTCGCAATTCGGAAAGTTTACTAGGTAGTTTTTACCCATGCATTAAATGTTCTTGTATGTCAAAAGTTCTTGACGAGGGGCATATGAAGGATATGGATATATGCTGGCAAATGAGAGCCTGGCATTTAATCGTTTTTTTGGTGACTTGCCAAATATTGATATGAATGCAATCTGTTTTTGGTCTCACCTGTACATGTGGTATGTAGTCCATCTTTAACTTTCTCGACAGCGACTGGTCTGAGTCGCTTTTCTGGTTATATTGAGTTGCGAGTAGTGTCGTTTCCGCGAGGACAGTGAGTGGCTGCGGTTCTTAACTGCTGTCTTCAGTCGTGGTTCCGAAGGAGATCTGTTGCATAGTGTCTGCCAACCGCGGATTAACTTCACCGCCATCTGTTGTGACTAGACCATTAATTTTAGTATCCTCGGGCCATTGCCTTTTAGTATGCTGACACGGGTAATTGTGTAATCGACTTACGTCGCCTGCACAAAGGTCTTCACGAGTGTGCCGCCATTCTTCTAGGTCATGAGCATGGGCTTCTTCGTTGGCAGATACCGGTAGCTCGGGTACGCCATGGACGAAAATGACTCTTCCACTACTCTCTATGTAGCAGTCCTTTGATTCATTTTCGTATCGCTGGCGTTCGCTCCATGGAACACCCTGGAATATGCGGATCCCACTGTCTTCAGTCCGCCGGCGGTATGCCAACGAAAGCACCGTCTCGACATCATCTGTGGATCCAAATATTACTCGTATGAGTCGGGACTCCCCGTAGTGAATCGAGGTTGGATACCTGCCGATGCGCATTATATTATTCGGGGTGGCCTGAACTCCGATTCTATCACTCTTTAAAAAGTTTGCCTTGGACTCAGGAACGTTGGTGCATATAGGTATACTCACAGACGTCGCGG